CCTCCGTTGGAAGTCTTCAGATTGCAGGAGGTGTGTGCTTTATGCTCCATCTCCCCTATTGCTGGGCTTGTCCCAGAGACAGCCCCACTGATTCCAGTTCTCCCAGTTCTCTCTCCCCACACTTGAGGGCTCCTGTTCCCCTCCCCACCTCCTCTTCCTTGGAGACTGGAACTCCAGGAATCTTGTGGAAGTATTCAAAGAGCCAGAGAGGTCAAGGACACTAGAAAACCTACAGAATCAACGAACCTGGGCCAGTAGGGGCTCACAGAAACTGAACCACCAACCAGAGAGCACGCACAGGATGAACCTAGGCCCCCGTCACATATGCACAGCTTGGCCCTCCTGTGGGTCCTCTAACAGCAGGAGCAGGGGCTCTCTCTGACTCTGGATCCCTTTCCTCTAACTGGACAGACTTGTCTGGCCTCAATAGAAGAAGCACCCAGTCCTACTACGACGTGACTGCCATGCAAAGGTGGGTTGACATCCATGGGAGGTCTCTCCTTCTGTGAGGAGAAAGGGACAGGGACATATCAGGAGGGGAGAGGGAGGAACTGGGAGGAGAGAAGGGAGGGGAAGCTCTGATCGGGATGTAAAGTAAATGAATTAGTTAATTTAAAAAAATGAATTTTGGGGTTGGAGAGATGGCTCAGAAGTTAAAAGCACTGGCTGTTCTTCCAGAGGTCCTGAGTTCAATTCCCAACAACCACATGGTGGCTCACAACCATCTATAAAGAGACCTGGTGCCCTCTTCTGGCATGCAGGTGTACATGCAGGCAGAACGCTGTATAAATAATAAATAAATATATTTTTTTTTAAAAAAATGAATTTTAACAAATTCCAAACAATAAAAATACAAAACCCAAACAAAAAACAACACACAAAGAGCAAACTGTTCTAATGCAATGGCAGTCAATCTTAAGCTTCCCAGCATAACTGAACCACACAGAAAGCTTTTAACACTCGTGATGTCCAAGTCCTACCCCAAGCCAGCAACCTTTGGGATGAGACCCAGATACAAATATTATCAACCCAGGAAATCCCAAGGTGCACCCAAGTTTGTAAACAAATGTGTCCCCTGCCACTAAGAAAGAGAAAAAGTCCCTTGGGGGTAGTGTTCCACAGTGAATGTCCCACTGCTTCCTGTCCACCTGATATTGTAAAAAACAGTGAACTACCCATGAGGCCCGGGACAGGAGGTCTTCAGCTGGTCCAGGCTACTGGCAAGTTACCTTTCCCGATGACCAGCATCACCTACATAGCGACATGGCTTTGAGATCGATCAATGGAGGGCCGTTAGCTCACCCTGACAGAACCCTTGGAGCAAGGGCTGCTGAATTCCAGATCCCATCTTTAGTGTTCCCTTCTTGGCGCGTGTTGCATTGCTACCACAAAATACTGGAGGCTGGGTGCTCTACAAAGATTAAAAAAAAAAAAAAAAAAAGGTATGGCCTCCCGTTGCAGAGGTCCAAGAGCACGTCACCAGAATCCACTCAGCTTCTGGTGAAAGCCTGTGGCAGCTCAGCTCACAACAGTGAGCCAGAAGTGCTTTGGGCTGGGGTGTTGCCCGGCTTGCTAACAACCGAGTCACAGAAACACATCTCCAGAGTAACAGCTCACTCATAGGAAAGCATTATTCCCTGCTCAAGGCCTAACACAACTCGGCACTGCTCACTGGGCCCCAACCTCAATGCGAGCTTCATAGCGTGAATCATATTCAAACCATAGCACCCTTTGGGCAGATAACCAATGTGTCTGCCCTTTAGATCGGCATGATTGTCCCCTCTTCCCTCTGCCTTTTTATTAACTGTAGCATATTTAGGGGTGATTTAAGCTTACTGTTCATTTCACAAACTGCGCACCACACCTATCTGCCGACGGCTGTCCAGGCAGGAATGCAGACATTCTAAAGAGACACACGGATCCCTGCCTTTGACCGTCACACTACCGAGACAACGTACTGTAAGGAACTGACGTTCCCCCCCCCCCCCCGTAGGAACCTCATGTTGATAACATGAGAGGCTGAGGACTGGTATGCACCAGAACGAGCCTCTCTCCTGGAAGGAGACCTCACAGAGTTCCCACAGCTTGTCAGACAGTCCTGCAGGACGGACTGGACCTGGAACCCTGACGACGGCAAACCACCCCTCGGCCAGGACTGCCTAGTTGCGCATAGCTCTTAGTTTCCGCTTGAACAGAACTCCTCAGAAGAGCTTGGGGGGGGGTCGTTGGAGCACTTCATTTGCTCCTCTTCCTAATGCGGCCACACTGAATAAATCTCCTTTTTGTGGTTTTCACCATGACCTACTTAACTAGCCTTGTAGGGAGGTGTGGCCAAGCTTAGCTGGTTGGAGCTGCGAGGGCCCAAACTCTGACCCTAAAAACTCCAGCAACAGTCAAATGAGCTGTCCGTGGAACCAAAAGAAGCAGTTGCTCGCTACTGCGAGAAACCCAGCACCCTGGCACAGCTGCAGACGCCCGCTGTGTCCTGTTGCGAGAAGGAGCTGTGCTGAAGCAGGGCAACCCTGGACCCTGGAGGGAAGATGGGTGTATTCTGGATGTGCGGGAAGGACGTCTGGGTTTGCAGCATCCACTGTTTTCAGCTGTCTAGAACTTCTGCTTCCTTGGTTCTTGCACCTGTCCTGGTTATAGTGATGTTATGATGTGTTCACAAGTGATTAAAAAAAAAATAAACCAAAGATAAAAAAAGAGATAGAGAAAGGAGGGAAGGTGGCTTGCTGATTGCCATATGAGCCACAAACGCCACAGCGATGTCATCAAACACCCAGCTGGGGAACACTGTGCCACGATTGCCACAAGCCTGCTTGTTAGCCATCTCTCTTCCACAGATCCCTGCAGCAGCACCCCCCCCCCCCCATGCAGCTCCCATGGGGAGCAGGGAGCAGGGCTGCTCCTAGTCTCCATGGTGGAAGCCGTTTAACCCAGACTGAACCTCTTTCCCTCTGGACAGTTACTGGCAAGTGTTCTGATTTTGAGTAACTCTCCACAGTGGCTTAAACTACAGAGCTGGTTCCGTTTATATGCAGAATTGCCACCATTTCTACAAACACGCAGGCTTCAATAGTGCTTAACAGAGGTTTTTTTCTCTCTTCACAAACTGGTTATCTTTGGAACTCCTGCCCTCTGGTGTCCACCCGAGCGAACTCCTTTGTCTGAGCTCTGGGTTCTACAGAGGAGGAGGATTTCCCACACAGACAAACAGATGTTTCTGTTGGTGAAATCTAAAAGAACGTGACACCAGCCCCACCCCCCAGATTGGCACTACCGGCACTTGTTGAGATGGGATGAGGTTTGCCAACCCTGTGCACCGTGAATCAGTTAGCAGTGCTCTGATTGTACCTACCCACTAAATGCCAGTAGCAGCCATACTCACACACCAGTTAGGACAAGCAGAAGATGCAAACACTGCCATTGCCAACTGGCTTCGGGGGGCGCTGGTGGGGCGGGGCGGAGGTGAATCCCAAGCTGAGGAGCCGCTGACACGCGGCTGGGGCAAATGCAGGCTGGCCCTCAATGCCTTCCAAGCAGCACCAAACCCCTTTGGCCACAGCCCTGGCTTAGAGCCTCAAGCTGAACCCAAACCGAAACCCCTAAGCTCCCAGAACCACGGGAAGAAAGCTCTGTCTGCCGGACCAAGAGGAGGGAAGGCATGGGAGCAGCAATGTGGGGGGCTGGTCACACAGCACCCAGTCAGGAAGCAGGAAGAAATGCTGTCGCTTTGCCCGCCTTCTCAGCCTTGAACCCCGCATCGACTGGTGCCAGCCAGAACAGGACCTGTGACCAATCTAGTAACTAACTCCTTCACACACGAACCCACTGTCTTTTACCTTGGGAGGGGTTGGGGAGCATGCCTGGGCTGGAAAGATGGCTCAGCTGATGAAGTGCCTGCCACATAAGCATAGATCTGATTCCCGAGAACCTGGGAAAGTATCTAGGTGTGAGGGCATGAGGCTCTCACCCCAACACTGGCGAGCTGGAGACAGCAGACCCCTACCTGGAGCCCGCTCCCAGCAGTCAGTGAATTCTTCAGGCTCAGTGAGACCTAGGCTCAGAAGACAGGGTGGAGAACTGAGGAAGACATCCAGTGTCGACCCCTGGCCTCCACACACAGGCACACACACATGCAAAACACATGCAAAAACATACATGCAAAACACACATGTACACACAAGTTCTTCTGAGGCATGATGGAAATGGATGTCGCTGCACTTGAAGTACCCGACTTTTTGGTAAATACCTGTGAGGCAGAGGAGCTGGCTGGTGCAGAGGCACACAGCAGGCTGAACCTTGGTCAACTCTCAATCCCAGAAGGCCCCAATAGTGATGTTTCACTTACAGAAGAAAGCCTCATTCCAATTTCTGGTATTCTGAGGCTGGGGCTGGTCAAGATTGTCACCAGGACCTTTGCTCTTTGCGCTTGCTCTTCCTCCCTACTGTGCTTATCCTGGACTGCCCTCACCCACCAGTTCCCAGGACGCCAAGCTTCCTAATTCTTGATAAAGTACCTGAAAAGGTACCTAAGTCACAAACCATCCCTCAGTCATTCCCACTCATGAGATGCAAAGTACCAACCATCTTAGCCAAGATAAGCCCCTCCCAACACAGCACCCACTTTCATAGAACTCAGATTCCTGAGACCAAACTCCTGGGGACAGGACCACAAATCCTGGGCGAACACAAGGCAGACAGTGCCCTCGTGTACTCTCTCTTTCTACACAGGCTCTGCTGGGCAGTTTCTCTGTCTTTGTCCCTCTGTCTCTCTCTTTCTCTCTCTCTCTCACACACACAGACACACACACACACACAACTTTATAATTTGGGAGTGGCCATCAAGCCTGTTCTTTGTAACAGACATTTCCAGGTCATGACAGCTTTTCTAAGGCCCCAAAATTCTCTATGATTATAGACAATCGTAACTGACAATTTTTAACATCTTCGGGAGAAAACACATAATCCATGACCAGACCAGAATATACTGAGAAAATAATTTATTCAGTTGTAAAACAGAATTTTTATTAAAAAAAAAACTTTAAACATTACCTTTAGTAACATCCTAAATTTACTCATTAAGGATTTAAAATTAGGTGAATTTTTTAAAGATCAAGACATCCCCCCCAAACTCCTCCAGCCTCTCCTGTACACTTTCAGAACAGATCTTTTGCTTGGTTCAGGACTTAAGACCATTAGACCCTCTCACTTTAGACCAGGTCCAGCACAAGGTGAGTGACAGAGGCAGAATTCTTAGTGGATGTGTGGTCTCACTTCCTTTTGCCGTGCTCACCAATGCAGGAAGCCTATGGGGTTTGTTGCTGCTGGGGTGTGACTTCTTTTTGAACAGCTGAAGAGTAAGAGTTGGCGCAGTGTAGACGAACGTGAGATCCTTTTTTATCGAAGCCCCTCACACTATCAAAATAGCGCAACGGCTTCTTCGATAAACTACTTGAAACAGAAACAGATGCCCTAACCTGGAAGACGAGCAAAAGAAAAATGGACGCCAACATGGAGACACACACCGACAACCCCCGTTACACAGATTTGCTTTAAGTCACCAAAGAGAGCAATGCTTCTCAGCCTTCCTGCTCTGACACTTTCACCCAGTCCCTCAGGTGGTGGTGGCCCCCAGCCAGAGTTATTCCCATTGCTTCTTCATAACTGTAATTTTGCTGTGTTTTCCAATGGTCTTAGGAGACTCCTGCGAAAGTCCCTCAGCCTCCCGAGGGGTCGTGACCCACAGGTTGAGAACCACTGATGTAGCTATGCTACGTTTCTTTCCGAGAAGGGACTCGAACACCCAGCAGCTCGGCTGCAGTGATGGGATTTCCTTTTGCTCTGAAGTCAGTTGTCCAACGTCGTTCAGTACCTCTGCCTGGCTGCTGCACTTGCGTAGTACAGACAGAGCAAGGGAAAACGAGGTCATGTGATGGAGGGCTTTTCCAGTCCACTCCTTCGTGTCAGTCGTGGCACACGCTGGCCTGAGGAACCCTGAGGCTCAGAGAAGATGGTATGCCAAGACGGTGACAGACTGTCTTCCGAAGGAAATCGGGTCCTTGTAGTCCACTCCTCCGCTAACAGCGCCCAGCCTCCTCTCCACAGAACTCAACACACAAGTCTAATGGCCTGAATATGACTTGGGCAAGACAGAGAGCATCCTCCATTCATTTCCAGCTGTTAGTCACTGCAGGAAAGCTGCCAGTATCTGCAACTTGATTCAAGCATCAACTCCATGCCCCGTGTCCCTCCGGTAGAGCACAGCCTCTAAGCAGTCAGCCCCATACTTTCTGGGACTCTGAACACGTGCCACCAAGGTACCAACCAGCACCCTTTGCCTTCTTAATGTACAGAAGCCAAACAATAGACTGATGAGGCCTGGCCCGCCGAGGCTAAAAGCCATCAGCTTTAAAGACTTTGAAGATCACACTGACAGCTGTCAGGATTAATACCACGAGAAACAGATCTGCTAAAAAGGTTTATTATGGAAAAGGGGGAGGGGGAGACAGAGGGCAGAGAGGAGGGTGTCCAAGACAGACAAAGAGAGAAAGAGACTGAGAGACAGAGACTGAGAGTTAAGAGAGCTGGGAAGGCTGGCAGGGGACTTTTATCTGGCAGGCAACTGGTGGCAGGAAGTGATGACATCACCAGAAGTTGCTAGGACCCTGAAAGGCAGGCCAGGGGGACCTCCTGTATGCTAACAGGATCCTCTTTAAAGTTCTCTGGCTGCTAGGCCTATCTGTGTTACTTTGGAATCGGCGCAAACAGGGAAGCAATGAAACCAAGGGGACAGCGTGCCCCACTCCGACCCAGCCCATCTCGCTGCCAAACATTTCTCTCAGCACCCCGCTATCCAGCATGTTATCTGACCTACTGGGCAGAAAGTTCTGGCGTCTTCTTTACCTATGGCAAATTAATCTGACTTCAACGTATATAGTATTTCCCCTAAACCCAGAATATATGAGAAATCACTGAGAATTTACACCTGATTACTCACCATAGCCTCTCGCGCCCACATTACAAGGCTCAAAGTAATAAGGAGAAATAGTACCTGTTTGCCATGTTGGTGGGTTTTGGTTTGTTTTAAGTTAAAATTGAGTGTTATCACCTTCTGAGGAATTAGCCAGAAAAATGCTGTCAAATTTAGAAATCTACCACGGTAATCTAAAGTCAGACGTTATTTCTAACCAAATTATACTCTTTCGTCTGCCAAGCTACCTTGACATTTTTAATATCCGCAGGCAGGCCTATCTGGTAGTCCCAGCAATACTCTGGAGATAGGATTTTCGTGGGTTTGTTGTAAAGGAAATACTTGTTGAGGTGGCTCTCATCGTGCCACTCTGCCTCTATGTCGTTCATCTTGTCCTGGAGGATCCCCTTGAAGCACTCCCTGGTGAGGTTGAGAATGCGGACGGGCGTCCCTCCAAAGATGGCCGCGTGGTAGTAGAAATCGCCCTGCCCAAACGGAATGTAGGCAGCCGACAGCTCCCGCCTCTCGTAGGTGAACTCGTCGTTGCTGGCTTTGTACCACCAGGCCTGGAGCTGCGCGACCAGCTGGCCCAGGGTCTCCACCCCGAAAGTGTCCTGGAAGAACTGATCCACGTCCATGCAGAAGAGGAAGTCCACCTCGTACTGGATGTGGGCCCGGATGTGCTCCCCGATAGTCTTCATGCGCATCATGCTGATGTCCTGCCACCGCTTCTCCGGCTCGATCTCGAACACCTGCATGGAGTGCAGGGGGCTCAGGTGAATCAGGGGCATTCTGGAGGCGTCGTCGGTCATGACGTAGAAGATGACCCTGTGGCCAACCATGAAGTGTCTGTTCGCCGACTCCAGGAAGTCTTCCAAGTAACGCTCGATGTACCTGAAACAGAGAGGGTCACGTTTACTCATGTGCTGCTGACGCTCAAAGGCTCTCTGTATTTTACGTTGGGGACGGGATGGCTTCTCCACAGGCCGGTCGTGCGTCTCGAGTGGAGAGACACGAGTTAGCAGAGCGCCCGGGGCCACCCTCCACTGGCTGGTCACTCGGTCCTCAGGGAAAGTGGGGTAACCTCTTCCACTGCCAGCTGGACACGCTCGGCCTGTCCTCTTGCTCTCGGAAGCTCACCAGCCGGAGAGGTGTGTGTTCTCAACTAACTGCTTTGCAGTGCGCTTCGCGCTAAGGCTCTGTTCTCGAGTGTAGACGCCTGCTGTCGAAGGAGCTAGCCCTTCAATCTTCTGGAAAGGCCGGTGTTGCTACTGCCGGGGAAAACACGGGCACTGAGCACCCCTAACTCAACCTTACAGAGGACGACATGTAGGATGTACCTCTGTTCCCACACTGCCCGCTCATTCTACATCCCCCCAGGGGCTACCCCAAACACCAGTGGATCATCTAGATGAATACGATGTTATTAATCCATCCAAATACTAAACAATCTCAGATTTCGCCTTTTTCCTTTTTTGAGAAAGAGTGTCATGTATAGCAGGCTAGCTTCAAACTCACTATGCAGCCAAGGACGGCCTTGAACTTCTCACACTCCTGGTAGGATTACAAGCAGGTATCACCACATCGTCAGTTTTTGTGGCACCAAGCAACAAATCCAGAGCCTCAGGTACACTATGCACTCAACCATCTAAGCTACAGTCCAGTCCGGCTACATTTTTTTTTTTTTTTTGTCTTTTTTGTCTTTTTAAAAATAGCATTCCTTGGGGCTGGAGAGCAGTTGTTAAGAGCACTGGTTGCTCTTCCGGAGGACCCAGGTTCAATTCTCACCACTCACATGGCAGCTCACAACTGTCTGTAAGTCCAGTTCAAGGGGATCCGACACCCTAATCATACAGACACACATGCAGGCAAAACACCAATGCACATACAACTAGAAAGAAATAAAAATTTTAAAATAGCATTCTGTAGAATAATTTTGAATTCTGAGCAAAGCTGAGCTGAAAGTACTTCGAGTGCCCACATACCTCCTGCCTGGACATACGGACAGCCTTCCCTACTAGGCCAACCATACTCCAAGGGGGTTGGTGACAGCTGACCACACTGATACAAGGTGTGTCATTTATACTGAGTTCACTGTGGAATGTGCAGGAGCACAGAGTCGGGGATGTTCATCTGTCGTATAATTCAAAAGACTTTCACTACCTTACAAATCCTCAAGGCTCTTCTTTTCCTTCCTTTTTTCTCCCCAGTTCTTTACAGTGCCCATTCTTTGCTCTTAAACCATAGTTTTGCCTCTTCCAGAATCAGAATCAGAAGTAGGACAGTGTGGACCTGTCCTACTCAGGGTTACCACTGCACTGATGGAACACCAAGACCAAAAGCAAGTTCAGAAGCTGAGGGTTTATCGGGTTCATACTTCCATATTGCTGCTCATCACTGAAGGAAGTCAGGACAGGAACTCAAGCAAGGCAGAACCTGGAGGCAGGAGCTGATGCAGAGGCCATGGAGGGGTGCTGCTTACTGGTTTGCTCATCATGGCTTGCTTGCTTCCAGAACCCAGGACCACCTGCCCAGGGATGGCACCAACCACAGTAGGCTAGGGCCCTCCCCATCAATCACCAAGAAAATGACCTACAGGCTCGCCTGCATGGATCTCATGGAGGCATTTTCTCAGTGGAGGCCCCCTTCTAACATAAGCTAGAGTTTTAAGACATAAAACTGGCCAGCACGGGAACCTTTCCAGATTGGGTTGTTCACTTAGTGACAAAAACTCCTTGTTTTCTGCGGCTTTATAGCTCAGTTATTAGCATTGAATAATATCCTATTGTCTGAACTGAGCAGTGCATTTTTCCATTTGCCTTGTTTGCTTCCAACTCTTAGCAGTTATGAATAAAGTTTCTAAAAATAAAGATGCAGGTTTTTGTGTAGACATGTTTTCAACTCACTTGGGTTGATACCAAAGAATTTGATCACTAGATTATGATAAGAGCACTTTTAGTTTTGCAAGGAACTGCCAACATTTCCTCCAAAGTGGCTGCACCATTTTGTATTCCAAACATAAACAAACATTCCTATTACTTCATATATTTTCCAACGTTTGGTATTGTCAGTACCTTTTTTTTTTTTTTTTTTTACTTTGGTTATTCTAATAAATATCTCATGTCAACTTGACTTTTTACTCATTCAAAATAACATCATATGGATGCCTTTTACAAGCTCAAACCACCTCTTCCCAGATCACACCAAGGAGACTGCAGGGAGGAGTCAGAGGGTCCTTTCCCAAACCTCAAACTTACACAGAGAATATAGACCGTGGTCAGTATATTGAGCACACAAGTAGCAAATCATGATGATAGGGAAACAATAATTGTGTGTGTGTGCGGGGGAGGGGGGAAGGTGTCACTGTGACATCTAGTAAGTTTAAGAGGTTAAAGTGCTGTGGACAGCTCCAGGCATTGAGAGTAAAAGCAAAGCAAGCTGTCACACCTCCCTAAAGGTCCAGATGCAATTTTTCTGGGACCCACTCTTCTAGTTCCTGAGTGTTTTTACTGTGGATGTTGTTTTGTGGGTTTTTTGTTTCTGTTTTTGAGACAGTTTGTCCGTGTAGCCCTTTGCAGACTGGCCTCCCTGGGAGCACAGCTTTCACCAGGATGTGGGAGGGACTCTCGGGCCTTTTGTTGTTCTGTTTTTTTGTTTTTTTCTGCAGAGTTGTGATTGGATGGTTGATAGCATCGTGGGACAGATAGTGGGTAACATTCTGTTCTTCTGGGGGAACACCAGGATCAAATCAGTGTGCAGAGTGGCTGTCTTATCTGTGCAGACAGGGTTTGCTGAGTTGGGCCCTGACTCCAATCCCTAAACAATACAAATTCTTCCAGTGAAATGTCAAAACTCCACAGCCATGGCTTTTCACTGGGACGCCATCAGGCCTCTGGGAATCAGCACTCTGAACAACGACAGAACTTCCCAAAGACAACAAGGACAGCTGGGCACTGTGTGCGTATGTGTGGGGGGGAGGGGCTGTGATAAGATCACTTAGGTCTTATCTTGTCAAAGCTCAAAGGTCAGGTCAACCCAGAACCCACATAGTAGAAGGAGAGGGCCAGTGCCCAGAAACTGTCTTCAGATCTACTCGTGCATGAGTGCACGCACGTGCGCACACTTTTTTTTTTTTTTTAAAGCACAGAATGACTCAGAGAAGACACACTCTAATGTGTCTTACTTTGTTGGTATCTCCCTCCCAACCCTCACTTAGCCTTTCTTAAATCATCCTTAAAAACACAAACTGGGTGGTGGCGGCGCACACCTTGAATCCCAGCACTCGGGAGGCAGAGGCAGTTCAAGGCCAGCCTGGTCTACAGTGAGTTCCAGGATAACCAGGGCTACCCAGAAAAAGCCTGTCTCAAAAAAAACCAAAAACAAACAAAAAACCTACCTCCTCAAAAACACAACTCTGCCTCAAATAAATAAAGAAAAAGAAAAAGAAAAAAAAAAAAAGGAAAATGAAACTTAAATGTTTTGTTTTGGGGAAAACATTTCATTCACCAAGAAAACAAAATGGATTATGCTTTACAACCAACAACATAGCTCGACCTTCGAGGACGAATGAATAGCATTTTCCCTCATCAAATGCTCTGAATAAGGAAACAGGAGTTGCTGCAATCAGAACTTGTCCAATCTTAGCAAGTTCTGACCATCCAAAACACCAGGGTCAAATCCTCCAGGATGGTCAGGCCCTGGGCTTTAACAGGACACTTACATCTCAGCCAGCCAAAAGCTGGCCTTTGGGGACTCCCTAGGAAAGCCCAGTGTGTCCATGAGGAGGAGTATCAGGTAAGCGCTTGGTTCTGGGTTCCAGTGGCACAGAGGACAGTTCCCCCCTCCCCTCTGTGGTGGGAATGGGCTGGCTTAACCTACCATCTTTCCCTCAGCCTTCATTAGGAAGAAGGGGGAAGTCTCCTGCCTAGTAACTCAAATTACGGCCTCTGTGGGGCTCCGGGTCCCCTCACAAATACTCTGGTGGCAGAAAACTCAAGGGCAAGTTTGACAGCGTTGCTTACCTCCCCACAGCAAAAACTGTCAGCCCCACGGTGATTTTCCGCCTGGCATAGTAATTTTCCAGCAGATCTGTGTCGTAAGTTCCCTCCCACACAATTGGTGCATTCCAGTGGGTCACCGTCAAAACCTCCGGGCGGTTCCTGGTGACAAAACATCCAACACTGTGAGTCAGAACCGTTACGCTAAGATGAGACCCTGGTTAAGGAAGAGGAGGCCAGCAAGATCTTCGGCGACTGTCCTGGGATCCCAAATGCTTGAGCAGGAGGAGTGTGACAGGGGCATGGGTCCAGGCACCCCAGAGGTGCCTTCTTGGAGTCTCACTTAGAGAGATCGTGAGACACAGTTTATTCATGGAACCAAGGCTGACCTCAGTCTCACTTCCTAGCCAAGGATCGCCCTGAACTTCTGACCCCGATCCTTCCATCTTCCAAATGCTGGGTTTAGAGGCGTGACCCACCGCACCCCCTTTGTGAAGAGCTCAGTTGCTAGATACTAACTGACCCGCATCCCCGCCTCCTTTGCTTTTCTCCCCAGCCTGCAACTGACATCTTTGGGCTGTTACTTATCCCCGAGATCATCAGAGCCTAACAAGCCCCTAAGATGTGATGCAGGGGGATGAGGGAATGAGGTCAGAGCTGAGAGAGAAAAGCCTCTTCCTGTCTGCCTTTGGCCGGAAAGGGCCCCAGTCTTAGGGGATGCTAGTGTCATCATCCTGCAGGAGTGAAGACACTCTGAAGACATGCTTGTGCCCCTCCCAGAACTCCTCCAGCAGTCTCACACTAGGCCTGGTACCTAAATGGCAGTCAGTGCCATTTAGATAAAATTAGGGGATCACAGGACCCCTTTATCCGTTCCTCTTCCCAGTGTGGACACATCAAATAGCCTCCTTCTTCTGTTTCCCACTATTTTCTCTTCTTTAGAAGTTGTAAAACATTTGGACGTGTGGCATGCACGCTGGCATGTACATGACTGCAGTGTGCACTCAGGGCTGATGCTGGTAACTCTTCACGGAGCCAGGGTCTCTCAAGTGAGCCCAGGGTTCATCGGCACATCCCGGTCAGGCTGGCCAGCTTGTTCTGGGGAATCCGGTCCCCAGATTGGAAGCAGCGGCCTCCCTGCCAGGCTGCCACACCCACCCAGCACTTTACGAGCGTGCCAGGGATAGGAACTCAGGCTTGCATAGCAGAGCGAGAGCCGTGAGTCCACGCGTCATCTCTCCAGCCCCATCCCTTGTCGCTTTCATCAGCGGATGCTCAGGCTGCCGTTTTATAGACAGGGATACAGAAGTGCCTAGAAAGGAAGGAGTGGAGCACAGCCGTGCTGGAAAGCAAGGCTCTGGCGAGACCCCCTCCCCTGCCCACAGCTCTCTCCTCACTGGGGAGGTTAGGAGTCTGTTCTCGTTACTCAGAAAGCCCGAATAAGACCCGGCAGCACCAACACAGGGAGCCAGGCAGGTAGCAACAGTGACTGTGAAAGCTGACTGCAGGAAGGACAGGAGGCAGCTGAGCCCAGCAGCTGGGCCTCCAGCTCACCTGGAACAGACTGAAGGACCCGGATGGGTGGGATGCTTCTTGACCAAGCTTGCTAGCTTTTGCACAGCATTTGCCTGGAATTTAAACCTAACCCTCACTGGCTCCCAGTGCTGAGGTACCGGCCCCTGCGTGGGCCTGGCCCTCACTTGGCCTTTGCCTGTGCCTCACAGGGGCAAAAGCCACCCACAAGGGGATGCAGGCAGGGCTGCAGGGAGACTGGGACACACTCTGATTCTCAGTGGTTACGCTGCTGCTGCTGCTGCTGCTGCTGCCAGGAGCCAGGAGGAATGTCCCCTATACCCTCCACAGTGGCACGTGCCTGCCATTAGCAAAGCCGCCACCTGCTACCAAGAGCCTGGCGGGGAGAGTGAGGAGTTTGCCCATTACCAGTCTCTGCTCTCTAGTTCTTGAGGTGACTCTGACCTCCCAGCCCAGTCCTCCCTGCCTCTGGCTGGCCTCTCCCCTCCCTGGGAGAGCTGGAAGAACCTCCACTTGGTGGACTGGCAGGGCAGGGAAAGACCTCCTGGCTGCCTGCTCTACTGCCCACCTGGTGCCTTGTGCCAGCTGGCTTGGAGTCTCAGACCCAGATGGGCCTCGGCTCCCTCTCTAGCATACCAGGTGTGCCTGCTGCAGGGTGGCCATGGGTGCTCCGGGGCTCCCTTCTGTCACAAGAGATGCTACAGCAGACTTGGTACCAACCCTAGCCAAGGCCTGTGACATGTGGCATCCGCTATCCAGGAGTGAGAAGCAAGGCTCAGGGAAACTTACTCATGTGTCCAAAGCCACGGAACTGGTCATGAATGTTGACACTTACACAGATGACATGGAGCACTTCCTGTGAGACTGGGTTACCGAAGAAGGTTCATTCTTCTGAGACAGGGTCACTTCTGAAGTCAGCTGTATCCACTGTCTCATTAAGCAACGTTACCTGCCAGTGCTCTGAGCCAGGAGCTACAGGAGGTTACATTATGTCAGAGGCGTGTGCCAGTAACCAACCATTTCCTATTTAATCAACGAGGAACCTGTACCAGGGAGGTTAAGCAATTTGCTTGAAGTCACACAGCTGATAAGAGGGGAAACTGAGACTTGAACCCAGGGAGTCTTTCTCTGGAGACGTAGTGCTTTGAGCTCATTTCTATTGCTCCTTAGGCGGACACTCGTTTGGCTGATGGAATCTGGTGAGACCCCAGATTTGCCTTTGTCCATTCAGCAGCCACCTCGGCATATCATCAGTACTGAGCTGTCGTGAGCCTTTGTGTGCTGTGGGGAGCTCCCAGGACCCAAGCTCTGTGGGGTGCTCACCTGGAGAGCTTTACACCCTGGTGGCACATTCACTCCTGCGGAGCTCTGGCTTTATGGGGTGACAAGGTTTCGGAACAAAAAGGGAAAATAAGTAAGCGCACACAGGGTCTGCTTCATCTCCCTCGCACACCACAGCTCCGTCCTCTGGGTGGTTGATCTTGCCTGTCAAGGAAGGACGCCTCAGTAGCTCTAACCCAGCCACCTTCCCTCAGTGGTCCTTGCTGTATATGATATATGAGCCACTGTATTACTGCCATGTATGGGCAGGCAGTATGTCACTGTTTTTAATGAAAAGAGGGACTAGGCGTGTATCTGCTGTTTTGAGTACATGAGGGACTAACTGCTGGCCTTTCACCCCTGCATTTAATGTCCACACAAGCCACAACCAGCACCCACGGTCATGTCAAGCAAGGCTAAGGAAGGGGACTGAGCCATTGGTCACTTAGTTCATACAGAGAGCCCCAGAGAGGTGACACCTAGTTCTCCCCCTTGAGAATCCCCTCAAGCCCAGCCCCACCCGCCAGCCACTCCTCAGCTGCCTGGCGTCTCTGTGAGAAGCCCAGTGTCCACTCTGGTTACCTGAAAGGGAGAGCTTCCTTTGAGCAGGAAGACAAAACAGCACTATTAAAAATTAAAGCTAAATTAAAAACCGAACCGTTCTCTTTCCCAGCAGTCAATTGTTCAGCTCCACTGACAATTGCAGTGTGTCCATGACCCTTGACTGAGAAGCCAGACAACAGCTTGGAAGTGCAGGTGTGAGCAGGTGGGAGGGGGCAGCTCAGGCATCAAATCCCACAGCCCCCCCCCCCCCAAGAAGCCACTGTGATACTGTCAACTGCCTTAGCCAAGATCACCATGATGAGGTTCTAAAGGGAGGGAGGGAAGAGAGCCAGGGAAGAGCCACTCAAGTGCCTGCCTTCTTTCTGGACGGGGCACTCAGCGCTGTGTGACCTCAGCACGCCGGGATCCACCATTCAGGGCAAAGGCTTCCGGGAAAATCCCAGGCCGCCTTCAATAAAGCCCTCGGGTCTCCAGGTTACCAGGAGTTTACCCTCAGCTGTATGTCTTCATGCAGAGGTACACCAACAGTACCCACGTGTCAGCTGGAAGATGTGTTAAAACGCTGTAGGCTAGGCCGGCAGGATAGCTCGGCAAGCAAAGGCACTCGAGAGACTTCACAACCAGAGTGTGATCCCGGGGACCCACACAGCGGAAGAACCAACTCCCACAAGCGAGCTGTCCTCTGACTTACACATGAGGACCTTGTCACACACACACGAATGAATGAACCAAAACTCTTTAAACCTCTTATGAGTCACACAGCAGGCTGGGGAAAGATGCGGAACACCCATCGCTCAAGCTGCAGTAACCCACCAGAGAGCAGGCGACAGCAGGGATGGGAGGAGAGGGGGCTGTGTTGTGGAGAGGAGGATGTGTTAAGACTCTGGGAGCAAGAATTGATGAAAGAACTAGACTGTTGGTGGACAAAGAAAAAAAGCAATCTCCCAGACTCGGACCGGACTATTTACTGAGATGGGAAGTGAGAAAGAAGAGGGAGGGGTCGGAATTGAGAAAGCCACGTGGATCCTGTGAGATGAGCACAGAGAGATGGCGGGCAGGCAGGTCAGCACAAGTCTGGGCTCAGAGGCCTGGGGGCTGGAGACAGCTGTGACAGGCGGCCTCTCCGTGCTGTCTGATGCCAGGCAACGCAAGGAGGCATAATGGAAAACAGAGCACAACGGAAGAAGAGGGTGTGTAAAGGCCCAAGCATTCCTGAGGCAGGAAGAGGAAAGAACAGAAGAGGAGAATGGCCAGGAGGAACCCGAAGACGAGCAGAGATTTCGATGTAGAAATATATGTGCTCTGCCCTGCACTGGACCTGCCGTGGTTTGCAGGAAACAGTACACTGACACGCATAAAAACACTAATTTACTCATTAATTCGCTTATTCAAGAAATAGACTTTGGTGCCTTGGGAAGGCTTTTAATGGGATGGTAGTTCAAATCAATATTTGTGTGTGCATGTGTAGGTGCGTGTGTGTGTGCGTGTGCGTGTGTGTGTGTGTGTGCGCGCGCAATGTGGAGACCATAGGACAATCTTGGGTGTTATTTCTAAGGTGCCATTCACATGTATGCATGCATGTAGATGTGTGTATATATGTGTATATATGTGTATGTATATATATGTGTGTATGTGTATTTATACACAGAGAGAGCGAGAACTCACAAATTAGAATACAGTGGTTGACCAGGGTCACACTGATCCATCTGCTTCCCACATTCCAGTGTGAAATTACAAGTGAATGCCACCACACATGGATTTTGTGTGGTGTGTTAATGCATTCTGGGGATCGAACTTGGGTTCTCATGATTGCAGAACAAGCCCATGATTGAGACCCCTCCACAGCCCTCCAAGCCATATTCTTTTTATATCTGCCTGCCATTCATTTCAAAGTGAAACTGAGCAAGGCATGGGGTGGCCATGGCCCTCTTCCCTCTGCCCATAATAATTCACAGTGCAAATGCCACAGTAAAACTGTCCCGTCTTCTTCAAAAAGGTGCTCAGTGACTATGTCTCGCTGTCTAGTCCCAGGGGACCTCATCCCCACAGCGGCCATCTCTAGCTGTCTAGTCCCTGGACTTCATCTAAGATGCTTAGCAAAGCTGTAGCACTCCCAACTTTTTACACGTAGAGTGTCTCCCGGGCAACTACCCCACCGCCCAGCCTATCCAAGGACACGCGCAGGACAGAGCTCCGGTTCATGCACAGTGGCATGGATCTCCTATGCTGAGCAATAAGCGGACCTGCCAGAACATATCCAAGTGTCTCCAGCACCCAAGATCCCTCACAAGGCACAAGGTCGTATTCTCTCCTTCTTCTGGAGCTGCTCCTGCCTCCCGCCAGTGCTGAGACAGAACACACCTGGTCCTCCGCCGGCATGCCCTCACCTCGAGCTACGGTCTTCCCTGGCCCCCACACTCTGACCACACCTCACCCTCCATCTCCAGCAGAGCTCGTGAGCACCTGAGACCCCCACCCAGAAGCTCCTCACCACCACACCACACAGTGCTTCCCCCAGCTCCTAAGCCTGTGTCCCTGCCCCACATCCTTTTCCTAGTGACGCCCAGCGTCTAGCGCCGCCCCAACTCACCACTGCGAGGTCTCCCAGGCCTCACAGTCACCTTGGGCAGTTCTGTTCTTAATTGCTACACATCTTTCCAGTCAGTGGATCACATGACCTTAGTAACTGTGTCAAACACTAGTTTCCCGTCGACTGCTCCCTAGGACTGATAATTCCCCTATGCACTTCCTCTGCAGCTCCTGTCTTCCCCCTCCCCCCTTCCTCCTCGTCTTCTCTCTGTATTGGTCCTCATGCACGCTAAGCATATGCTCTGCTACTGAGCTACACAACCCCAGCTCCGTGACGGGGAGCTTCTTAAGTGTGTCATACTGTCCCCAATGCAACGACTACCACAGTATTTTTTAAAGCCGTAATTCCTGTCAAGAAATAGAGATTTGGTTGTGATCAACCGAATAGAGTTGATGTCCAAATACCTACACCTATACACAGAAAGAAATTCATCTACAGTGTGATGCGCTCTGATAGCCTTCTATATTTAATTTTATATGTGTGAGATATAGGGAGTGCGTGCGCATGCACAGGCCATGGCACGCGTGTGTGTAGAGGTCAGAGGACAACCACAGGTGACAGTCCTCACTTCCCGCCATGTCTGAGGCAGGGTTTCCTGTTCTTCCTTCCTACTGACCCACCACCTTCCAGGAACTCCCGTCTTGATGTGGGTCAATGGCATCACACGCGCACGACACTGCCTGCGGCTTTGCATGGCTCCGGGGGCGAGGGGCCTGACCTCCAGTCCTCAGTCAGCCCAGCAAGCACTTTAACCGCTGCGCCAACTCCGGAGTTCTTGGCTTGCTTTAAAAGCTAAGTTTGGGCTCAACCGTGGGGGCTAGTTTCTGAAAACACAAGGGGGTAGCGAGGGGCAGTGTGGAAAAACACCAGCTAACGGATCCTGTTTTCTGATAAGCATTTGCTGTCTGTGTGTGTAACGAGTGAATTCATGGCGGCGAGAATCTCTTACCGTGTCCACACCACAAGACACCGTAACCGAGTCTAGAGAATTTTTCTTGGCCCACTCCAGATCTTGTAGATTTCCATAGTGTCCTGGGGGACCCACTAAGGCTCTTTTTGCCCAGTGTTTTGTGCTGCACCTACAGCTGCCCATTTGCTGTTGGATTCTCACAGCGCTCAGTCTGTTTGGTCCAAAGTACCCAGATCTCGGTTTCTTAGCCACTGAGGAAGCCGCCCTGCCAGCACCACACTGGCCCCAACCCCCACCCCGCCAGCTCCTCCAGTGTGCTTACTACTCTCTGCCCTTACTGTGGATTGAACCAGTCCGATAGGAGAGGCTCTTGAACTCGGTCACGCCTTCCCTTTTCTCTCCCTTTTTCTATGTCGTCCTCCTCTTGGTAACCGTGCGTCCTGTGTACAAAGAGAAAACAAGATTGGTAAGGACATCATGGAGGCATGGGGGCCTCTTTCATGTCTCAAGGTAGAGAATGCATCTCTCCTGGCACTGGGTGGACTGGAGGATTCCTACATACTTGGTGGGGGTAGGGGGTGGGGGTAGGGTGGGGAGGTGCAGCATTTGCCTCTCTGGCCACCATGCAGGTAAGTGGTTACGTTTCAATGACCCTGTAACCCTCTGTTATTTCAGAAGTGGGGAGAGATGGTTTAGAAAGGCCCGCCAAGGAACATTTCTGTTCTCTGTCTAATCCGAAATTTAAATTTCAGCCTGATCTTCAGAATTTTGACTGGAGAAAGAAAAGGACAAAGGAAGACAGAGGAAGGCAGATGGGGAGGGAGGGAGGCAGAAGGGGAGAGGGGGAGAGGGAGAGGGAGAGGGAGAGAGAGAGAGAGAGAGAGAGAGAGAGAGAGAGAGAGGGAGAAGAGGGGGGAGACTCAGAATTCTGCCTGTAAGTTCGACTCCTCCAAACTGAATGAGGTGGCTCATTCAGTAAAACTGCCAGTCACGAAAACCTGACCATCTGAGTTTGATTTCCACAACCCATAG